AATAAACTCTGACAGGAATCCAAAACATACTTAATAGCTAATTTTTTTTTTTTTTCTTTTCTCTTCAGGTGCATGTTATAAATCTGCTGCAGGACAGCAAATTCCAGCTCTTCAAGCCCGTAATGGACAACTACATCGAGAACCACTTCGCTGGGGCCCTATCCTACAGGTAAACATTAGGGGTGAGGGGAAAAAACAATGAAAAAACTTTCTGAAGCAGTAGGTATGTCTGATTTTTCAGGGGTTTTTTGCATTTTAAATTGCTTTTCTATGTAAACACGCGCTTGACAGATGTCTTTGACCGCTGTGTTCACGCAGTGCACGTTTAAGATGCAAGTCACTTTTAAAAGTGTCTTACACTAAACGATGTATTTCGAGACACGTGCCCTAGGTATTCGCCTTTGCCAAAGTGCTTGTACAATGAAAAATGTAATGGTGAGAAATAAAGGAAACAAAACTTTTGGAGAACTTTCATAGCACAAGCCCTCTGAATGAAAGCACTATTTGTTTTATTTCTCGTAATTGTTTTAATACATAAAGCAATTGTTGTTGGCATTGTTTCTAATTTATTTTACATTTTTTAAGCAGTACTTTTATAATTATTTATATTTTTAAATAATTAAATGTAAAGTATTTAAACAGAAATCAATACCCAGGATGTCGAGCCAAAAATGGTAAATGCATAAAACATTACTTGCATACTGAAACACAAAAGAAATTGCAGTATATATCAAACCAGCAGCTGAATATCATGTAATATCGAATCAATTAATTAAGGTCGAATTAAGGTCTATATGGCAATTCCCAGCCTTTTTAAACAAGCTGCACAAGTCAAAATGATGTATTGGAGAATTGTATGAGTCTGGAAACACTATGAGTTTGGAGCTCCTGTGGTGTTCAGCTGAAATAGCGAGTCATGCTTTAGAAAGAGTTGCGTTTGGTAATGTAGATGGATGAACGGAGCACAAAGCACAGAGCAGTCTTGCTTTCGTCTGTCGTAACCGGTTTCATTTTACTGACAATGCAGTTTTTTGTTCTGTATGTGTGGTCAGGAAGGTGTTTGTGCTGATGGCAAATATTTTCAGATTGCATGTGTAACCCAAAAGGTTGATGCTCTTCATTTGAGTGTTGTCTTTTCCTCCTAATATTTTAGTATTTCCCACCTCTGCTTTCTCTTTTTCTTCCTCAACACACACACACACACACTCACCTTCTCCTTTCTGTCTCTCCCTCTTTCCCCCTCCCCTTTACCTGTCTTCTCACTCTCATGTGTGCGCGGTGTGTTCTGGCCGTGCTGTCTGTCAGTAATGAGGTTTTGTGTTGTGTGTTGTGTGTGTGTGTGTGGGCAGTGATGTGGTCTCTCTTCTTTAACGCACTGAAGTGTGGAGCATCAGTGTCAGAGGAGCTGAGGTGGATGTGGGCGGCTTGCAAAATACTCTCTCGCACCGTTCCCGTCACCCAGTTCCCATAATGCTGTTTTGTGTTTCTGTCCCATGTAATGTGTCTTTTTTTCTTTTTGTGTGTGTATTTCCTATGATTTTGTGATGCTTACATTTAAACATTTATTTTATTTGATTTATTTTGCATCGTATGCATTAAGTATATATTTTAGGGCTGTCAAACGATTAATCGTGATTAATCGCATCCAAAATAAAAGTTTGTGTTTAAATGATATATGTGGGTGCACTGTGTATAATTATTTTGTGTGTATATATATATATACACACATGCATGTATATTTAAGAAAAAAATATAATTTCTATACAATGTAAATTATATATAAATATATATACAGTATATACATGAAAATATTTCTGAAATAAATTCAAGCATATGTGTGTATTTATATATATAAAATAATCATACACAGTGGACCCACATTATTTAAACACAAACATTTATTTTGGATGCGATTAATCGCGATTAATCGTTTGAAAGCCCTAATATGTTTCTTATAATTTTGTGATGCCTAAATTCATACTATTTTATATTATTTAGTTTTTTTGTGTTTAGTATTTGTTTACATTTCTTCTTATATCTTTTGATGCCAAAATCACACATTTTTATTTATTTTATTTTTACTTTACAGTGCACATTAAGTGTTTACATATTGTTGTCTTATTTTATTTTGTATTGTGTGCGTTAAGGCCTATGTTTACATAGTATTATATTTTACAAAGAGAGCCAAGAAAATCCCACTTGATATGTTTCCAATAGATTTCAGACAGTGTTTGTTTTTTCACAGCCTTTTCAGTTGTATGTATGTGCTTTGTAAGCACATTCACACTGCGCTGTGTTTCCCAGCATGCTCAAAGACACACTAAGGTTAATCTGCAGTCAGGATGGATGATGTGGTGTCTCAGGGTAGTGAAAAACAGAGTCGCTGGGTTCAAACAGTGTGTCAATAATCCTGAAGTGTCTAAAGTAAATGTAACTGACGCTGCCAGGGCATTTACTGCTGTTATCGCTGGAGAATAAAGTTGAGTCACATTATAGTATTTAAATTTGCAACGCTAAGTAGTGTGATATAAGAGGCCAGTATTACATTAGTCATTTATGGCACAATCTAGGTGTAGAAATTTGCTCATGAATTGAATCAGATCTAACAGAACAGATTTGAACTGAGCTAAATCGAACTGGATTGATCCTATCTGAACAAAGCTGAATTAAAAAAGCAAACAAACAAAACTGAACCGATTTTTATATCATATTGAATCAGAACACAACTTAATTGAATCTGACTGAACAGATTTTTTAATTGGCAACTGGCTGAACTGAAAAGAAAAGAGTTTAACTGAATTGAACAAAGCAATCGAATCTGTCTGAAGAAAGCTGAACTGAACTAAACCATTTCCAATCAAATTGAATCTGATCAAACTGAACTGAACTGAAGGCTGTGTAGTCAGATCTTGGTGAATATAAATAGGATAAATAATATATAAATATTATTCTTGATATGGTTAAAGACTATGATAAGACTATTTTTAAGGCAGTTGGTTTTATCACAAGTGTTGCAGTGTGTTTAATTAAGATCTAATTGGATTGCAAGTGAAATGTTTAGGGGGTATGAAAGCTAGTATTACACTGTGGCTGATATTAATTGCAAGCCCATGCTGGGAATGTTACAAATTTTCTCCTTATGGCCAAATTACTCTTGTGGGCTTCCAAAATCAACAAGAGGCTCATAAAGACCCAGTTTTCCTCCAACTATTTGTAATTAATAACAACATCCAACAAAAAGTTAACTCAAGTGTTTTTTTCCAGGGTTTTCCAAGATTTTGACCCACTGTAGATGCCGTCCACATAGTGTGAATATATGTACTCCTTTACACACACTCTCCTTCTCATACAGGTCTTGATGGATTGGACCCGAAGGACGTTTTAAAATCATTGTAATGGGTTCTGACTGGCAACAGAGACCATTAAACTGGAGTTTATTTACAAAGTTTCATGGCAGCTGTATTAAGTATTCATGAAGACCTGTGCACTCTAACTCCACTGATTCATTGTTAGCATCACTTGAAATGTCTCAGACGTTTCATCGCTTGAGTGTTTAAGTCTTCTCATGGGAAACACTGGACTGTTAAGAATCTTTATTCAACCTGTCAGAGCCCTCTGATTCTGTCGGCTCCTAAACTTTTAAGATATGCGTCAGATTTACTTCAAATACCCGTTGAGGAGTCTTGTCTTGGAATAACATCTACCAGTCAGATTTAAGGAAACTTTAATTTTGTAATCTTATAGAGGTATAAAACTATTTATGATATTATGAAGACAAAATCTAGCAGTGATTTTTTTATTTTTTTTGTCAAAAACTAACAACTATATTAACAATTGAACAGCAAATCATTATAGGATCATGTGACTCTGAAGTAATCCAGTAATGATTGCATCACAGGAATAAATGACCTTTTAAAATATATTCAAATAGAAACGGTTATTTTCAATTGTAATGATATTTAACAATATTACTGATTTTAATGTATTTTTAGTTAAATAAATTCAGCCTTGTTAGCAGAAAAGACATCTTTTTTTAAAAAAAAAACGAAACTTTTGAATGGTAGTTTAAACCTGTTTATTCACCATTAAAACTAAACAGAAATTAAAATCTAAATATAACTAAATACATTTTTTTAAACAAGGATGTAAAGGTACCTAACAGTCTAAATGAGCATGCAAACATGTTTTCTTTTCCCTGCAGATGTCATTTTAGAGGCTCTGTAAAATCTTGAGCACTGCCTATGAATAATTTGAGATATTTTGCATGTTCCCTGCAGGACAAAGAGAAAAGTACAACATTCATACATAAACGCCGAGTTTTTTTTTGTTTTTTTTTGGTCTGATATTCCTGGCTTGTGCTTGCAGGGATCTGATCCGTGTGTTGAAGTGGTATGTGGATCGTATCATTGATGCCGAGCACCAGGAACAGATCCAGCAGGTTTTGAAGGTGAGAACACTAAAATGCGCTTCATTAAGGATGTATGTCACAGTATAGTATGTATGCAAATCTATGAGCAGTGATGTAGTGGTGCCTGGAGAAGTGGGTATACTCTTAATTTATGCCCCCAATATTTTTTTAAGCGTCCCAGCAAAGGATGAACGCCCTGTGTTATAAACAGTGACATGTAAGACAACTAGTCTTGCATTAGTATTCAATATGCAAGACTATAGAATAGAGTATAATAAATACAATAGAACACATAGAATCAGTAGTATTCTTGCATATCAGGGCCGCACATATAGTTTTCTAAATACCCAGGTGCCAGGTCCCATAAATTTTATTGTTAGGGGGGTTCGGGGGGCATGCCCCCCCCCCCCCCCCACCCCCACCCCGAGAAAATTTTGATTTTCCTGATCTCGAAATGAGAATTTTAAGGTGTTTTGATGGCCAAAAAACAACAAATTGACAACAATAGCTTTAAAAGCATGAAGTAGCCTATTTGATCAGATTCTTAAACATGAGAATCAGTTCCAGTTTCAGCGACTTTTCTTTCCTAAATTAATCAATGTTTTTTGGACTAATCTGTTTAATTTAATTAATGGTTTCAATTGCTCACTCAAAAAGACAGTCACTTGTCGCCACCCTCGGGCTAAATGATGCAATTGGCGCAAACGCAGACAAGTCAAACACATTCGAAAAAATTTATATACAAATATATATACAATAATAATGGCAATATATTTAATAGGGTGCTTGTGTTGTTAAATTGAGCTTGTAATTTCCACTGCATTTAATCAAACTGATTATTTCTGTCGGTCATTTAAAACGTCTATTGAAAAACAGACGTAAATTTGAGCTACTTGCATCTTATCTTGCATTGTCGTTAACTGAAGTGAAGCGTCGCGTTGGGATTCGCGCTCGGCTCGCGCTTCTATGAACAAAAATCCTGCATTCTTTGATTGGTCTCACGAACATTTTGATATTGACGAGCAGGTGAGTGCTGAAGCAGATCAGATGAGAAGGTCAGTTATCGTCACGATGGGAGAATCATTGCAGCAACAAATTAGAGTTAATATTACGGGTACAACTCTAACGGGGTGTTTTTTTTATTCACGAAATTGGATTAGCAACTAAATGATGCGCATCAGAGGGGATTTAGAAGTGGGTATACGCAATGCCGACTGAAAAGGAAGTGGGTATACGCCGTATACCTGCGTATACCCTGCACTACACCACTGTCTATGAGGAAACATATGCACCCTCTCTCTCTCTGTCTGTCTATCATGATAAGCCCCTGCTGGTTCTCAGTCCTGATCATCTAAGCTTTCTCCCCAGCAGCTACGGATACCCTTGATTCATCTGTTCTACCTCTCCACCCTCTCTCACCCACAGGAACTTCTTTTCTTACCCATCATGCAATTAAGCTACAAACATTCAGTCTTTTCTTTCTTCATTCGCCCGTTCTGCTTTTATGACCCCGCCGTGGGACCACCATGCACATTCTCCAAATGCATCCACACTCGTTTACACCCTTCAAAGGTGTTGTTTGAAAGCAATTCCCACTTTCTTACCTTGAACCCTTCAAACCTCTGTGGGTACAATGCGTTCCATTCATGTGGTATTTTTGCTCTTTCTGATTGAAATGTTTAAAAACAGAAAATGATCTTCACTTTACAGTTTTTTTTTCTTCAAAAAGTATTAATTTAGAGCCTTTAGAAATGAGCATATCAAATATGGTGGAGAAGGCTTTACAGGGTTAATTTTTTAGAAGTTTTTTTCTAGAAGGTAAAAGGTCTTTTAGTATTTTGTAATTGTAAAAAGGTCCACCTTCAGGTTGAGGTTCACTTGTCTTATTGATGTGAAATCTTTACAGATTTCTAAAAAGTAAACATATAAGATACCTTTTATAATGTTAGTCATATTTCAAGATGAACTCTTATTGGACTGAAGCAAAAACCATGTTAAAATGTGAGTATCATATGATCCATCAGGCTTTTAAGGAACATTTATTTGTTTATCTCTGAATCATCATCATTATATTAAATTGCACTATATATTTTTATAGTGTTATTTATATAATATTTGTTATAAAATATTATGTTATATAATGTATTTTTATATATTTTTACTATAGACTTATTATTGGGAGATATAGAGAGGCATCTGATATTTATATACTGTATGCATTTTATGCAAGTAGTCTGTTATATTGCTATAAAAATCTAATCGATTTACATTACAAGCTTTTTTTGACCATATAAAATTTCATATTTTTGCTCAGTTCGGGCGTCTGAATAAAACTGAGGTGTTTTTTTTTTTTTTCTCTGGTGTGAGTTTCATATTCTCACTATATCATATTATATAGTCATAAAAGCCTTAATGTATCAAATATGATACTCAACGTAAACATGCAAAGTCTTTTCTTTAGATTTTGTTTATATTTTGTCAAAAGGTATAATAAACTTCCATACAAAGAATTGATTTAACTGACTATTAAGACATTTTTTTAAACATGTTTTGGATTTTTAGTTAGGATTTCTTTTTAATGTGATATTTATTTCAATAACAATTGTTTGATGTCGTATGGTCCACAGGCGTCAGAGTACTTGTTTAAGTACATTGTGCAGTCCCGGCGTCTGTACGCGGCGGCCACCGGAGGACAGAACGAGGAGGAGTTTCGCTGCTCTGTTCATGAGCTCTTCAAATCCATCCACCTGTTCCTGTCTCACGAGAGTAAGGGCATCAGCCCCATCACACACACACAGGTGAGAGACACACTTCTTCTTTTTCTTCTTTTTTTCTCAGCAAAGATCTGAACAATCCCATTTTAGCAATTGGACCAACAAAAATCATTGTTTCTGGCAAATGTTATTCCTGTTTCACATGCTGCTTGGTCGATTATGGTCGATTAATTGGTGACCTCTGACCTTACAGAAAGAGGCTGTGGACAATGTTAGTCGAAACACTATCCAGACACCTTTGATCCAGACATATTTTCAGTGTATTTATGGTTTGCAGTGGACTAATCTGGTTATCGCTTACCTGTAAACTTTAGGGGCACTGTTTCGGTATGTTTCAGTATGTTCAGTGAAAAAAGTAATAAAAATATAGAAAATAACAACAAATAATCAAACCACAAGCAACAGCACAAAAAAACACAACTGAACAAGTATACAAATAAAATAAACAGTGCTTTTCAGGTACAGAAATGTAATTAAGTTATCAAATGTAAGCATTCCATATGATTTTTACTTGTCTGATGAAAAACAGTCAGCAGGAATGTTAGGCTGCTGTCACTTTAAGATATAATGAATGCATGGATCCAGTGCACTGATACTGATACACATGCGTCATCTTTCTCAACTGTTTACGTTCACTTAAGACACAAGTTCACATAACCTACTTTGTTTGCTAGGATACTTGCCAAAGTGGGCATGTTGACATTTTTGTGTGAATTTCTTCAGGTTCAAAACCCAGGTGATGACGGTGTACATGACTGGTCATATAAGTCAGAATGCGTATCCATCGACAGAAACGTACTTTAGACTAACTCTGTCTGTCTGTCTGTTGTTATTTTCAACAAACCATATTATAGATGCATATGCGTCGTCAGATTTGAGATGAACCCGCTGAGATGAACACTGGTTAGCAGGAAGTTAGAAGTGTTTATTGAGTACAGTACTTTTTTTTCAGCCCCACCCACATTTGTTCTGCTTGCATAGCAGCGTTCAAAGCTCAGCCAGCCCATGGAGAGTTAATCCAGACTCTTGATATACACAAACAGAGACGCATGCTGTGCGTGCTAAAAGCCTGCCACACACTGTCACGGCCCGCAAGCTTGGAGTCGGCAGAGCCATGTGTGTCCGTCGGGCAGAGAGACCCGCTCCCCTTCTTTTAGAGATTCGTTTCGTTCCGACGAGCGTTAACTGTGGCACAGTGGGGACGCGCGCGCACATTCGCACATTCACTCACACTGAACTCGCACGCAAGTCTGTTCTTGTTATGGCAGCCCAGCAAGAGAGCAGATTTCAATTAACACAGCCAAGAAAACAAAGTGTCTTTGGACACCGCGGCATAATCCGAAGCACATGCAGGCGACTGGATCTGTGCCAGATTCGTGTCACCACAATATTTGTGTGTGTGAATAAGTGCCTTTGCTTACATCTGTTGTTTGACGTCCCCTACCGCACCAGAGGAACATTTTCCCAGTAAATCAATGTGTAAATGTGTTTGGAGGAAGATGAATGCGGATGTATTACAGTGACACAAATGCACAAAATATACACATACTGCCGCACAATAGTCTTTTCTTCCCTATTGTGGCATATATTTGAGTGAAACTGCTTCTCGGAAAAGAAAAAATGTAGGGTGGGACTTCATTGGTCGATCTCATGCTGAGTGACAGGTTGATCCCGCCTTCGCTCCGGTAAACATCATCAGTGAAGAGAAGAGATGATGCTGCAAAAGAGAGGAAGTTATTTTGATTAAAGATTACGAGGGTACATGATTTTTTTTAAATATTGATGTGCACAGATAAATAATTTATTATAAAATACTGCAGTATTTATGCCTTATTACATAAAATGTATAACAAGAATTGTCTATTTTGATTTCATGGTGATTTTAAACTTATCTCTTGGGTTCCACCTAATGAGTTTGACTGGGAGTTTTTGTACTAAACAAACACTTAGCGATGTGTTCATTGGCATTTTCTCAGGCCGTGTTCCTGAGATCGTTCCCGACTGTGTGTTGCGAGCTGCTAAAGATCTTCAGCATGAGAGAGGTGGCAAATCTGGCCCGTGACACGCTGAGCAGTCTGCCCGCCCTCGCGCACAACGACTGCCCCCTACAGGCCGTCAAACTGCAGTGCATGGCCAAGACCGTGGAGAGCCCTCTTTACATCAACCCGGGTAAAGGATCACTCAGTTTTCTGATTTAAAGCATTTAAAAATGAAAAATTATCACTGAAAACACCAGAAAATCAAGTTTAGATCTATTAGAAGCCATTTAAATGGCCTACCTAGAGTACACTGTGTCTTAACACTTTAAAGTCTGAAATATGAAAATAGTAGAAAAATGTGAATGTGTCGACCTTAAGGGGGACGTTTTTATAGTTATGCTAAAAGGAATTTCACTTGCTAAAAAGCATAAATGATCAGGAACAGTTTATCTGATGATCATTTTGGGCTTTAGAAATTTGACACGGTGGTCTTTCTAGGGTTAAAAATGTTTGAATCTTATGTTTGTGTATTTGTGTGTTGTCAGAGTCGAGGTGTGTGCTGTTACCTGTAGTTCTGCGTCTGCTGCACACACACCTGCAGGAGCAGAAGGAGCTGGTTCTGTGTGCCAACATCCTCACCAGCATGCTGACGCTCAACACACCCGCCACGGTCAGAAACTGCTGCTACAGTCATTTCCTTACTGGTCAAGTCACTCGCATCTCTATTTATTTGTTTGTTTCTAGCTCTTGTCCTTTTTTCATTCTTGTTTTTCCCTTTAGAATTGCTTGGGAGATTTTTTTTCGTTGCTGATTTTGTATGGAGAAAATGTAACAATTATATTATGTCAAAAGTATAATTATCTAAAAATAATTTACAAATTTAATCATGACCCCCTGACCTGTATGTAAATTTCACAATTTAGTTACCATTTTAAACATAAATCAAATGTTTAGTCGGTGATCTACTACAATAATGTAGTCTGAATAAATATTGTATTTAATTCGTTTTTATTTAATTTGATTAATTACAACAAAACATTATAAAATAAATTAAAAAAATGTATCAATTGACAGTTCTAGTAAAATAATTAAATAAATATACAAAAATGTAATATCATATAATTAATATTTAAATGTATGTGTGTGTATATATATATATATATATATATATATATATATAGTTTAAGTTTTGAAAACATTCAAATGACTTTGAATTTGTAAAAATTAGTTCTTACACCTTCATATAAAAAATAATAAATGATCGAATCAAATAAATTTTAGAATTTTAATTTAATTAATCATTACCTCCTGTCCTAACCTTTAGGCTAATCTATATTCACAATTTGATTCCTCAAATTATTATTTTTAACCTGAAACTGATTATTCAGTGATTTACATATAATGAAACTTTTGTTAGTAAATATTTATATATGTGATAAATTATATAATTTGATTAATTCAGTCATCATATTACAGTATTAATTCAAAATGTAAACATTTAAATCAATTGACAGCCCTAAAAATATTTTTGAAAAAATTGGAAATATAAAATCTAATATCATAGGATTATTATTATTATTTTTTTTTTAAAATATTTACAAATAAATGTATATTCATTGATGTGTGTGTGTGTGTGTGTGTGTGTGTGTGTGTGTGTGTGTGTGTGTGTGTATGTATGTATATGTGTATATATATGTATATATAAATTAAATGATTTTTGTTTCTGTGTGTAGGAGTGTGGAGTGTCTGAGGAGGTGAATCTGGTCATGGAGAGTCTGTCTGGAGTGTTACTCAGAACTATACTGGAAGTGACCAACCGGCCTCAGCCCGCTGCCTCCTCCCTGCGCCTGCAGTACCAGGATGTTACTGTGCGTCTGACCTTTCTATTGACCTTTTATATTTACTTTTGGGTAAGTATTTCAGTATATTGAATAACACTCAGATGTGTTCATGTTTCAGGGTGAATTTGTTGCCTGTTTGCTCGCGTTGCTACGGCAGCTAAAAGATAAAGAGTACCAACAGCTTCTCAGCAGATTTCCCACTAAAGATGAACTAACGGTAAAATCATTTTCTACACATTACCAAAGCACAGCTGTGATAATAGTGATTACTGTAGTGTAACTGTACTATCTCTTACACTGGTTTCCCAGAGTTTCATCCTGCAGTTATTCACCGTCTTCAGAATACTTATCCGACAGGATATGTTCCCAAAAGACTGGACTGTCATGCGACTGGTCGCTAATAAGTAAGGGCTTGAAAAACCAGGCGTGAAACGATTCATATTTTATCTCATTCAACCATAGAAATGTTTTATTGCTTGACGTTTCTGTTTGTTTGTGTTTAGCGTCATTATTACCACCATCTTGTATCTCTCTGATACCCTGCGCAACAACTTCCTTAATGAGAAATTTGACTTCAAGGTAAGGAGATTTTCCATGTATTTATTCAGTTTTTTAAGATATTTATAATGTTTCAAAAGCTTTCTATTTCAAATTAATGCTGGCCTTTTGATCTTTCTATTCGGCAAAGAAAAAAATGATCACAGTTTTCACCAAAATATGAAGCTGTTTTCAACATTGATTTTTAAATTTTTATAATATTTCACAATATTACTGTCTATTGTGTTTTGATAAAAAAAAAATGCAGCATTAAAGGGATAGTTCACTTTCAAATTAATGTTTGGTGTGTTTTAACTTACCTCAAGGGCATCCAAGATGTAGGCGTCTTTGTTTCCGCAGTATTTTCAATTTTGATATCGTGTCGTGTCTCGGGCCATCAACGTGTACTTAAATTTACAAGTCATTAAATCATGTTTAATTTGGACTTCTCTGTGCATGCTCTTTGAGGTGGTGACCATAGACCACCATTACATGACTGACAGACAAGAACCGTTTGACCTAAAAATATCAAAATTGAAAATACTGTGGAAACAAAGACGCCTACATTTTGGATGCCCTTGAGCGAGGTAAGTTAAAACACGCCAATTTCAAAGTGAACTATCCCTTGGTGAAAACATGAAAAAATGAACGACCTCAAATTTTAGTGTCACCTGACACTTTGGCCTGGGAATCAAACACAGGGAATAACAAAAGTTTAAATACTTTAAAAGTTAGCAAATTTAATATTATTACAGTGTATATAATGAATATAATTAAACTGTGAAACATAATCTTAATTCTCACCTCTTAAGTAAAAAAAAAATAACTTTATAAACATACAGGTGTTTAAATACTACAGATTATTAAGGAATTTCCTGCTCTCCAGAGTTCTGGAATACCAGAGAACAATGTGCATATACTATATTAAATTCACTAACGATTGCCTGTCACTTTAACTATTTGATTAGATATGTAAATATATTCAGACGTCTCTGGTACACTGTGTACGTGTGAAAGCAGTGGATCTAAAAGCCATGATCTTGCATCTACACTATAAAAATGTTTGATCAAGTACCCAAAAAATGTGCTTCTGACATCTAAATTAAATCAAATGTTTCATACGACAGCAGAATCAACTTATATTCATAAGGTCACACCAGGAAAAGTACTTTTTAAAGGTCAGATGAAGTAGAAATATTTCATTTGGCTAACGACTGCACATTGTGCTGTATGACATCAAAAATGACTGCGGAGGAAAATTCTCATCTCCTGGTGCATCCTGGGAACATGATAAAAGTTAAACGTTGAATCCTAGTCAGCATTTTAATTAGCTGTCTTTTTATCTGTAGGTGTGGGAGTCCTATTTTTATCTCTGTATAATATTCATCAACCAGCCTTGCCTCCAACTGGAAATGTTCCCGCCCTCCAAGAGGAAAAAAGTCCTGGAAAAGTGAGACCCCTTCCTGTTCTTTTCCTTTATTTGATCAGAATCCTACTGAGAATGAGATTGAACGTTTTATAACACATTCTGCGTGATGACACGCCATTACTAGAATTGCTACAGAATTAATATGCCTGTGATTTGTGTTTTTAAAGGTATGGTGACATGAGAGTGATGATCGGTTGTGAGATTTTCAGCATGTGGCAGCATTTGGGTACGTGTTTCGGTACAAATCGGTAATGATCGTTTATGGATTTGCATGAACGTGAATATATGATGGTGTCTTCCAGGTGACTACAAGTTAAATCTCATTCCTACCCTAATTGGCCCGTTCATGGAGGTGACTCTGGTACCACAGATGGATCTGCGGAACGTCCTCATCCCCGTTTTTCACGACATGATGGACTGCGAACAGCAGCGGAGCGGCAACTTCAAACAGGTGCTGAAATCGCAGTGACATGAACATGTTTCAGCGCGCGAGAGCAGCGTGATGTTCATGTCACAGTGAATTATAAGCGGGCGTCACAGTAAAACGCTGTGGATGCCAGAAAATCTAGCTTGATTATTACTAAGATCGTGACGCTTTTGAATGGAGTCGAGCCAGATGTCAAATTGGATATATCATTTATTTTCTAAATCATTTTAAAGGTGCCACGTGATTTATAGAAAGTCTGGGTTTTTCATTCGTTATTTCAGTTAAAATTGCAAATGTAGCTTGGAATGGTCATGCATGATTTATACATGATGATGTCTTTGACTAACATTATAAGTTGACTTATTTATGACTTTAAGAAGGAAAAATAACATTTTTGATTGGTCTCTAAAGGTGGAGGCCAAACTAATAGACAAACTAGAGGGTCTGATGTCGGAGGGCAAAGGAGATGAGACTTACAGAGAGCTATTTAACAACATGTGAGTCCTAATTCTTAACTTTGATTCAGGAAGGATGCATTAAAATGATCAAAAGTGACAGTAAAGACATTTAAAATATGCATTCAAATTGAAAACACTTGCTTTAAATATATTTGAAATATTTTTAATATTCTACAATATCAATTTTTTCAAATATTGAAATGCTTCCAAATGTCATTTAAAAAATATATTCTATTTTTTTTTTCTGTTTTTCTGCATTAGAATTCCTTTGTTTGGTCCATATCCGAGGTGAGACCATCATTAAATACTATGAACTACAGTCATTGTTTTAAGAGAGTTTATTTCCAGTGATAGATCTGAATACTGCATGTTTGTGATTGTGATTTAGTCTGCTGAAGAAGATCGAGAGAGAGACCTGGAGAGAAAGTGGCGTTTCCCACATCGCTACCGTCACACGGTTGATGGAAAGATTGCTAGATTACAGGTAAAGAAGACACACGTGAACGCATACACTATACAGTACAACACACTCGGGTTTCATGCAATGATGTTGTTCATCTCTACTCAGGGACTGCATGAAGATCGGAGAGGTTGATGGGAAGACGATGGGATGTACAGTCAACCTTCTGGTTAGTTATATGTTACTTCACTTGAGATCAGAGAACATGAAAAATATGACACAATGACTTTTTATTTACTGTAGTTGTTTGGTATTTATTGAGATGACCTTCAGAAGAAAAGGATGTTCTGCTCACATTGTCTTGTTCTTTTCAGAACTTCTACAAGACTGAGTTGAATAAAGAAGAAATGTACATCCGTTATATACATAAGCTCTATGAGCTGCACCTGAAGGCACAAAATCACACCGGTAATAAAAGCTCAATATATTTGCATTAAAGGGATAGTTCACTTTGAAATTAATTTTTGATATGTTTTAGCGTACCTCAAGGGCATCCAATATGTAGGTGTCTTTGGTTCCACAGTACAAAATTTTTATTTTCAATTTTTATATTTTTAGGTCAAACTGTTCTTGTCTTAGATTAAGATTAATTTCAAAGTGAAATATCCCTTTAATCCGTTTAATATATAATATAAATATCCCTTTAATTAATATATATATATATATATATATATATATATATATATATATATATTTAATATTATTTATTTTTAAAATATAGTTTTCTTTTATAAATTATTATTATTTTCATTTTATGAACTGTGCAATTGTTTAATAATAATAATAATAATATGTTATATTACAATTGTTTTGTATTTTTGATTTGTTATGATCTATGTAACTGTTGGATAATGATAATAATATATTTTTTAATGATGTAAAACTATTTTGCATAATAATAATAATAATAATAATATTTTCTATTGTAAAAAATAATGTTTTCATTTTAAGTCATTATGATGTGTGCAACTGTGTTGCATAATAATAATAATATGTTGTATAATCATACATTTTTCTATTTTTATGATCTGCAACTTACAGAATGATAATAGTAATAATAATTTGTATAATATTTTTTTAAATTTTATATGGTCTCTGTAACTGTGTTGCATAATAATAATAATATTACTACTACTAATAATAATTTGTATAATAAATATTTATATTAAATGTATATTTTCATTTTTTTATGAATAATAATGTTTTCGTTTTTTTCTCAATATTCCGTGTTAAAAGCTGTGTAAATGTGTTGCAGAGGCGTCGTACACCCTCCTGCTGTACGACGAGCTGTTGGAGTGGACTGAAAGGCCTCTCAGAGAGTTTCTCACGTACCCCATGCAGAGCGAGTGGCAGAGGAAGGAATGCCTCCATCTCACCATCATACACAATTTTGACAGAGGGAAAGTGAGTCCATCTCTCATTTTAAGATGCACTCCACCCACCATAAACTCATTCATGATAATGCTGAATGTGACAGTGTGACTGGAAATCTTTTATTTCCAATAACAAATGGCTGATGATGTTGGTGTTGTTTTCTTTCTACATACTGCCATCTTGTGGCCGAGACTTGTAGCTGTAATTTCTCATCTCTTTGAAAAGGGGTCCTTTACTTTAATGTATGAAGTATAATTGTTATTTAAAACTCAACTCAACTTTTTTTCTTGAGCACTTTCAAAAACCACATTGGGTACCAAAGTGCCGTACATAAAAATAACACATACAACCAAAAATACATAGAAATTACAAACTGAACACTTCCTTCCAGTGCTGGGAAAACTGCATCATACTGTGTCGAGAACTGGCCAATCAGTACGAAACGTATTATGACTACAGGAACCTCAGCAAAATGAGGGTAAGTATTTCTTGTTTATAGAGCACCCTAATATTTGCTTTTTGTTTTTGCAGTGGTTTTAAATACAGCAATTATTTTAACTAGATTGAGTTATTACAGTATGTTCATTATACTTATGGCCAATTGTTTTCCTAACGAGGCGTTTGGCTTCGACTGTTAAACTTCCCTATTTGTTTTTTGTTTATTCTGTTACACAGTCGATTGCTTCACAGATTGTGGCAGTAATTTGTCATATTATCAGTTGGGTTGTGTTATATTGTGCTCAATGGTCTGTTTTATTTGCGTTCTTGATAGATGATGGAAGCCTCTTTTTATGACAAAATAATGAACCAGCAGCGCCTCGAGCCGGAGTTCTTCAGAGTCGGATTCTACGGCAAGAAGTTCCCCTTCTTTTTAAGGGTACTCTTTCAGCATATTTATATTACATTCATATATATAGCATATGCACTATTAATAATATAATATAAATGATTATTATTTTAGGTAAATATTTTACATGTCGTTTTGTTAATACTCTTTTAAACATGATTTTAAGCAATAGCCCCAAAAAAAGGGGGAAAAAAACACCTAAATAATATAATATAAAGGCTTATTATTGAAGTTAATTATTTTTCAGATAGTGTTGTCTTGTTCATAAATTGTTTTTGGAGTTTTTTTTTTTTTAGTTCATCCAAAAATAAACTCTGTGTATGATTGCAAAATGTTGTATGATTGCAATTATTCAAAAATCTCTAGCATTTTTATATTATATTTATATATAATATAATAATATAATATAATATAATAAAGGATTATTATTTTAGGTAAATATTTTACAGATATAATTGTCTTGGTTATATAGCAATAGCAATAGCAACATAAGCAATAGTTATATTTAATCAATAGTTCACCCAAAAATAAATTATTTACAATCTTTGCTCACAATGTTGGATGATTACATTTGTTTCAAAATGTCTCCTTTCATGTTTATGGAACAAATACAGTCTTGCAGGTTTTGAATGATATGAGGATGAGCAAATAATGACAAGTTTTCATTTATGAGGTGAACTATCCCTCTAATATTAAAATGCTGACATCTTTATCCTGTGATTCAACATCATGTCCTCTAGGGGGCACTTTTCTTCCAGATCTCACTGTAATTCATCTATGATTTGCAACATTTTCTTTTTATTAAGATATTTGGTTTACCAAATACTATTCTTTGTATTTTCACTCTAGATGTTTCAAATGACAATGAAGGGGAAAATTTGGATTGAGTTATGAGAGATTTATTCTATTCATATTCAGTCCCTCACAGTCTGTATTATCTAGTTTCTTCCATTTCCCTCATTACTTTTGCCTGTGTGTGTCGCCACGAACAGAATAAAGAGTTTGTGTGTCGAGGGAACGATTACGAGCGTCTGGAGGCCTTTCAGCAGCGGATGCTCGGCGAGTTTCCTCACGCCATCGCAATGCAGCACGCCAACCAGCCCGACCAGACCATCCACCAAGCGGACGCGCAGTGTATCCTTAAACACAAGTTTGTCCTGTAATGAATTGGATTTGTTAATTCAGAACGGTAAAGTACAAGTTCACATTTCATTTCTTGAGATTGCCAAATTGCTCCTCAAGGGTTCGTAGATGAGGTCTGGTGTGAGGATATGGCCAATTAAAGAGTGGAGAAGTGCTAATAGTGCAGCTGTTGCAGTTTCTAATCGGATGTGTATCTGAACGGGGTTCATGCTGCTCCATGACCTCTTCTCTTCACCAGCTCATAATGATCTGATCGTTGTGTATATCTGTGGCATGAGTTCATGAGAAGCGCAGACTTCCCTCAGAGGAAAGTAGTATTGCTCGAATACAGTTAGGAGACTAAACTAGTTTAGTTTAGTAACTTGAAATAAATGAGATTACTGCAGTTTGTGACTTTTTTAGTTGTGAAGTGACCGTTGTGTGAAGACTGAATGCTTTGTAAGTCCCTTAACTGGTCGCGATTCAGATCTGCAGATCTATGCCGTTAGTCCTGTCCCTGAAAACCAGGACGTCCTGCAGAGAGACGGGGTGCCCAACAACATCAAGAGCTTCTACAAAGTTAACCATATTTGGAGGTTTCGCTATGACAGACCTTTTCACAAGGGCACCAAAGACAAAGAGAATGAGTTTAAGGTGTTTCTATCTATCTATCTATCTATCTATCTATCTATCTATCTATCTATCTATCTATCTATCTATCTATCTATCTATCTATCTATCTGCCTATCTATCTATCTGCCTATCTGCCTATCTATCTATCTATCTATCTATCTATCTATCTATCTATCTATCTATCTATCTATCTATCTATCTATCTATCTATCTATCTATCTATCTATCTATCTATCTATCTATCTGCCTATCTATCTATCTATCTATCTATCTATCTATCTAATCTATCTATCTGCCTATCTATCTATCTATCTATCTATCTATCTATCTATCTATCTATCTATCTATCTATCTATCTATCTATCTATCTATCTATCTATCTATCTATCTATCTATCTATCTATCTATCTGCCTATCTATCTATCTATCTATCTATCTATCTATCTATCTATCTATCTATCTATCTATCTACTATCTATCTATCTATCTATCTATCTATTATCTATCTATCTATCTATCTGCCTATCTATTCATCTATCCATCTATCTATTGGTCTGCCTGTCTGTCTGTCTGTCTGTCTGTCTGTCTGTCTATCTATCTATCTATTGGTCTGCCTATCTATCTATCTATCTATCTATCTATCTATCTATCTATCTATATCTATCTATCTATCTATTGTCTGCTGTCTATCTATCCATCCGTCTATCTATCTATCTATCTATCTATCTATCTATCTATCTATCTATCTATCTATCTATCTATCTATCTGTCTGTCTGTCTGTCTGTCTGTCTGTCTGTCTGTCTGTCTATCTATCTGTATCTTTCTAACATCTATCTATCTATCTATCTATCTATCTATCTATCTATCTATCTATCTTCTATCTATCTATCTATCTATCTATCTATCTATCTATCTATCTATCTATCTATCTATCTGCCTATCTATTCATCTATCCATCTATCTATTGGTCTGCCTGTCTGTCTGTCTGTCTGTCTGTCTGTCTGTCTATCTATCTATCTATTGTCTGCCTATCTATCTATCTATCTATCTATCTATCTATCTATCTATCTATCTATCTATCTATCTATCTATCTATCTATCTCTATCTATCTATCTATCTATCTATCTATCTATCTATCTATCTATTGGTCTGTCTGTCTATCTATCCATCCGTCTATCTATCTATCTATCTATCTATCTATCTATCTATCTATCTATCTATCTATCTATCTATCTATCTATCTATCTATCTATCTATCTATCTATCTATCTATCTGTCTGTCTGTCTGTCTGTCTGTCTGTCTGTCTATCTATCTGTATCTTTCTAACAGTCCATCTATCTATCTATCTATCTATCTATCTATCTATCTATCTATCTATCTATCTATCTATCTATCTATCTATCTATCTATCTATCTATCTATCTATCTATCTATCTATCTATCTATCTATCTATCTATCTATTGGTCTGGCCTGTCTATCTATCCATCCGTCTATCTATCTATCTATCTATCTATCTATCTATCTATCTATCTATCTATCTATCTGTAATCTTCTATCGGTCTATCTATCTATCTATCTATCTATCTATCTCTATCTATCTATCTATCTATCTATCTATCTATCTATCTATCTATCTGTATCTTTCTATCCATCCATCCATCCATCTATTTGTCTGTGGGTCTATCTATCTATCCATCTGTCTGTCTGTCTATCTGTCTATGAGTGTGTGTTTTCTTTCTTTCTTTTTTTATGTTTCTTAAAGGCTTGGGCACCCAGATGAATCTGAAACGATAACATTTTTGAAAATCAGTTTTATGATGTCCGTTATTTGTGTTGTGCTTTAGAGCCTGTGGGTTGAACGGACAACACTGACCCTCGCTCAGAGTTTACCTGGCATTTCACGCTGGTTCGAGGTTGAGAAAAGGGAATTGGTGAGTCATAACTTAAAAAATAAATAAATAACTTACAAGACACTTGTAGACAGCCCTTGATAAATCATAAACATGGCCAATCACGTACAAGACAAGGTTTTCACACTTCGGCACTTTCATGAATTTAAAGTAACTAAAGATGGCGCGTCCACCACCAAAACAATCATTTAAACATAAACAGAGAAATGATTACCTCAGTGTGCTTTCAATATAGGTGGAGATGAGTCCCTTGGAGAACGCCAGCGAGGTGATCGAAAATAAGACACTGCAGTTGAGAACGCTGATCGCCCAGTGTCAGATGAGGCAGATGCTGAACATCAACCCGCTCACCATGTGCCTGAACGGAGTCATCGATGCCGCTGTCAATGGAGGACTGGCTCGATACCAGGAGGTACAGGACTGGATGGAGAGCAGGGGCGGTCTGGTTCTGCTAGATTAGAGGTGGCCTTTGGGTTGGGTTAAAACTTGGAGCAAAAATGTAGAAAAGAATGGGGGAAAATAATGTGGTCCATTGTGCAAAACTGATAAGACCTACAGTATCCACACACGCTCAAAACTTGTCGCTTACAAGCTCAAATATTTCAGCAATGCTTTAGTTTATGACCTGAGGCTGTCAGAGTATTGAAATATTTGAACTGTTGAAGTCCAAAATGCGTTGACTTTGTTGTTGTCTCATGGTTTTCGCAACATGAATTGTCTGTGAAGGGTTTTTAATAGTCGGACAATTTCACCTTATTCCTTTTAGCAAGATGAAAGACCAGTTTCTAGTTTCAGCGAAACCCTCAAAAAGAGCATTCGGTGGAGGTTTAATGACTACCCTATGTCCTCACAATTCATAAGACTGTTTGCTGCATGTATCTCTGACAGTTGCCAAGCAACAGCATGTGGAGCACTGGCCTTTTGTGAGCCTAAGCTTCAACTAAGTCTATTAAAAGGGAAGAGTTAACTGCAGGGGTCCTCCTGAATCCCAGCATGCACCACACTCCACAGATGATGAGTTTACCACAGAGAACAGGGCTGCAGTTCTATGAAAGCTGGATCAAAATGTCACTTAAACATGACAATTAGCATGATACATTTAACTGGAGTCGTAGAAACATTCTCAGTGTTATTGTAATGTTGCGTGACGCTTTCTGAGAAATGAGTAGGAGTGCAGGTTAGTTCACTGCAGAGAAATGGCCATGAGACATGCAGTGCATTTCAATGTGTGGGTTTATTTATTAACTCGTCTTTTCATAAAAAATTAGCGTGAATGCACTTTCATTTACAGGCATTCTTTGCGAAAGATTACATCGCAAATCATCCAGAGGACGGAGAGAAAATTACTCGTCTTAGGGAACTGATGTTTGAACAGGTACGAAACCCATAATTATTTTGGTCAATGATGTGACACTCATTTTGTTTGTCTTCTAATTTATTCCCAAATGTATAAAAAAATCCATTTATACTTGCAATGACTTGAATACATTGAAAGAAGCAACTCATAAAAAATATTATGATATTTTTGCATTAACAGTTCATTATTGTTCAGTTTCATTTTGAATATGTGTGTGTGTATATATATATACATATATATAGTATATACACGTATATTATATATTTATACATATACAGGCATATACTTTTATATTATATGACATTCGCATCTAACAAAAGTTTTTGTTTACATATATATATATATATATATATATATATATACGCACATAATGTAACAGAAACTTTTATGTTAGATGTGAATAATTGCAATTAATCGATTCAATAGCACTAAAAAATACTAAATAAAATAATGAATATGTTACTTTTTATTTGATAATTATTCCACATGACCTTTTTAGTAATTAAATGTAAAAAAAAAAATATGTAAAACTTTTTTTAAAACCATATGAAACCAACACTTATACATATCTAAGAGATGTTTCCTGTTTTTTTTTTATTGCGTATGTAAATACGCAAGTTTGTTCTAAGAATAATACAATTTTGTCTTTGACTTGTTTTACAGGCTCATATTCTGGAATTTGGTTTAGCCGTGCACGAGAAGTTCGTCCCGCAGGATATGAGGCCGTTGCATAAAAAGCTTGTTGACCAATTTCATGTAATGCGCTCCAGTCTGGGAATTCAAGTATGTTTACTATTACACATCTACATAATAGAAACATATTCACAGGTTGTTAAAACTAAATTGTGAAAATCAAAATTGATGTTAAATTGCATATCCTAGCTTATAATGCAACTGTAAGCAAGCCATTTATAGCTTGATTTCCCTGAAAACTAGTTTAACTGTGTCCCTGTAGTGCTAGTACATTTTTATGTTCGCTTGAAAATACAGAGCAGTCTGATATAGCAACACTGGCTCAACCAATCGCATGAGTTTAGGGCGGAGCTACTGAGTTTGTCTGACCAATTGCAGATGGAGAGAGTGTTTTGAGAAACCCATTTGAAAAGTTAATTTGGTTAATGCCACTAGAGGTGCTATAATTACACACTTCACCTTTGAGAAATGATGGTATTCATTTCAACCAATGAATCAAGTGCTAAAACAGTTTATACTTTGTCATCCAGCCACAAGAGTTTCCCGCTTATGTGCGAGTTAGTCCACTGCATTTTGCCAATGGCAGTCCGCGCACATGTAGGACCCCCATACCTAATGCCATCAGCCCAGAGGGAGGCCGAATCGTGGCGAGACGCAGGTTTGTGTCATCTTACGCGCATGTTTCTTGTAAGGCTTCTTCTGTGGACTTTTGTGATACAAGATAAAAGCCTTTAAGGTCTTGAGAAGTTGAACTCAATTCAAATCCCAGCCAATGCTTATGTTTTGCATCAGGTTTGACAGATTGGCAACGAGAACACACCCACATTTAGTTTGCTAAATTTAGAGTCTTTCTCTTGTGTCTTTCAATTCCCTTTCAGTCCCCTCAGCTATCCAGCCATCAACCGATACTCCTCATCCTCACTGTCATCGCAGGCCTCAAACGAAGTGAGCAACATCACCGGCCAATCAGAGAGCTCGGATGAGGTCTTCAACATGCAAGTGAGTTATATTATTGGTATTACCATTTTAAAATCACATATCACATGAGTAGTTCTGTAGATATACTGTATATAGCCATTTCACTTGACTATGAGTGTGATATTATATAAGTAACAAAAATGGGGTGTCTTAAATAACCCTCTTGTGTGTGGAACTACTTCCTTCCGCCACGTAATCAAATCTCAAGTAGACAATTTAATAAATGAGCCCAAGTCTCTGTTACTAATTCTAAAACGCTTAAAAATACTTTAACTCTATATACTACAATTATTTTGTAAAGTAGAGTATTATGAGAGAGAGACTGAATATTCATAATCATACTTATTAATACTAATATGAATTTGTGCAATCATTTATAGATAATAAGGCATATATATTATATTTGTATGATCATTTGTATTTAAATTTACTTGCACAAAAAAATACCAAATCACATTATTTATCTATTGAATTTTTTTCTAGCCCAGTCCATCTACCTCAAGTCTCAGCTCAAATCACTCTGGCTCACACAACGTGAACAGCTCTGCACCCTCCAGCAATAGAGGTGAGTGAATTCAATAGACTATAAGCAATACGGCTCTCGGAAGCAAGCAGTACTTTCCGTGCCTCACACAACATAATTGGCATCATTTTGCAGGATTGCCTCATTTCCTCTGTTATTTTGTATCCTTTCAACATGCGCATTACGTGTCTTTATTCCTCTTCATTAGCTTCTCCACTGCCGTCTGACAAGCACAAGCACTCCAGAGAGAACGCCTGCCTCTCTCCGCGGGACAGACTCTGCAGCGGCATTTTCCCCAGCCCGCTGGAACACACACAGGTCAGTGCAGCTGTTCCTGTACGGTCAAAGACACGTGGAACGATTACTAGCCAAACACAATATTCAGTTGGAAATCATGTAGCGTTGGGCTTCATTTTTATCCATCAAGATTTGATTGTTGTGATTATTATTTGAAATGATCATAAAGCTGACTCAAGCCATATCTAGAGACAATAATATTTTAAAAATGCAAAGGTGGACTCTTGATTTGAGTCTGTAAGTAACCACCCAAAACACCTTAGCATCCACATAGCAACATCTCAGCAGACACACATGATATTTAAGTATTGTAGTGGAGATTTGCACAATTCATATATCCTTCAGAAACATTTTATTTAAACATACATATATGTATATAATTTCAAAAGTTCGGGGTTAAGTTTGATGAATGATAAATATTTGATGAATATAAAGTTCAAAACAACTACAATTATTTGAAACTGAAACATTATTAATGTCTTTACTTTCACTTTAGATCAATTTAATTCATCCTTGCTGAATAACAGTGTCAATATCTTACTTTTTGGGGGACTTTTGAATGGTAGTGTATATTTTATTCTAAACATTTATTATGTATTAAATTATATTACTTGTTCTGTTCACATAACAGTAGAAATGAAAATAAGATTTTTTTTATTTAATTTAATATTGAAAATGGTAATTAAAAATGACTAGGCATTATGTAATGTAAAATAATAAAAATGTTTATTATATTTTCATATATTATTATATAGAACTTATTTATTATTTATACATTTTTGTATGTGAATAGCATAAATAATCATTTAAACTATATTAAGTATTAAAAAATAATTTATTGAAAATAGTAATTAATAATTATATGCACTATTTAGTGTAAAAATCTAAACTATATATTAAGCATAAATTCTTACATTACATTTTACATTGGTAAAATCAGTTATATTTATAATTAAAGATGCTTTCATGTTGTTTTTAAAAGTCCAGCGCTCAGTGTTCAGTAAACGTCCAGAGAGAAAGACACATAAAAGGTGTATCGGATTCACTGAGATTTGTATCTTTTATATCCTTTATAGAGGATGATTCCGTTCCAAATACCAGTGGATTCACCATTACCACGGTGTGAAGCCAATCTCCCCACACCTGAGACGGGTAATGCAGCTTTCTGCTGTGAGATATAATACACCCGTTACACCTGAATCAGTTATGTAGGCCTCAATGACATGTACTTTTGTTCCTGTGTTTGTGTGGAATAGGATCTCTGTGCAAGAACGTGAGGTCACTGTCACCCATGCCGAGCGCCCGCTCCCCTCAGAAGGTGATTCCTATTCACTCTGTTATGGGGCTGGACGATATTGTGAAAAATGAAAAGAAATGCAGGAATGTTTACCTGATGACTTGAATAGCTATATTTGGAAATAACTAATCATTTTAGAATGAGTAGGGTGATTTAAAAAAATATATTAAAAAGCCGGAATATTATTTTTAACAAAATGAACCATCTTTTTAGGGCTGAACGATTTATTTATTTATTTATTTAGGTATTCACACTTGTTTGGTTTTTACAAGAACAAAAATATCTCTCCACATGAGTTTGCAAAGGCACGTTAAAAAACACACTAATTAAGTATAAAACAATAATAATAATTGAAAAAAATTTTTTATTGTGGTTATTACTGTACTGTAAAGTAATTGGGTATTTAATAAAAAAATTAATGAAAATTATTTTATTTTACAGTAATTGTAATATTACAATATTAAAATGTTCTAGTTTTTATTTTGAATAAAAAAAATGGAATTAAACCGATATATCAGCTATAAAGGGCTATAGAGTGACGCTGTAGTTCCGGAAGTTTTTCTTCCATTCATTATTCCCATAGGGAATTTTTAAAAAGTCTTTATTAAAGAGTTCTAATCTTTGAACCAATCTAGTCTGCTACAAGGTGAATCACAACAAAGTAAAAAAGTTTATGAATATTAGACAAAAATACAAAGGTACAAGACTGTGTACTTAATGGCTTTAGTGGGGGAAATAACAAAAAATCCCATGAAGCATTGCGAACACCATAATAAAATTTCATGGGAGCGATTTTGGCGCATTTTGGCTTTTTTCAACTCTCTGATCCCATACAGCATCATGGGTAATGTATGTCCAACAAGATTATTGTAAAAAAAAAAAAAAGCTGAAATAACGCAGAAGCAAAAACCATAGATTAACATCGTAGCTCACAGTAGGGTTTAAAGTTATAATTTAAGCTTTCCTAAGGAGAAAATGAATGGAGGTTTTGCTCCCGAAACCCGACTGTTGCACTCTATCGTGGCTGCGGTGTCACATGAAAAGCTTGACGTGGTGATACGTTCTAAAATAATGGTCGCTTGAAAAAAGTCACGCCGGGGATATTTTAAACTCACTTGTGAACGGCTTAATGAATTGATTGTGCTTGATTTTGCTCTGCAGTCAATGGTGCCGCCCCTCACGCCCTCCCCGACCGATGGCTTGCCAATGGGGAGCCTGGCATCTCACTCCCCTGCCCGCTCTGGCAGCTACAGCAGCGGCATCTCGTCCCTCAGCCGCTGCAGCGTCTCTGAAACATGCGGGATCGACCTCCCGCCGCCCGACCCTCCTCTGCCCCCCGCCGTTCCCATGGACATGCCCATTCGGCGGGGCAGCAAGACTCCTCCGCCCTACAGTGTCTACGAACGGAACAATCCCCGGCGGGCGACGCCACTGCCTCACAGTCTATCAGTGCCGCCCAGTACTGACAACCCCAGCCTGACCGCAAAACCCCAACTGAACCGCACACAGCGAATTAATTCCGAACCGCGCCACCGGCCCACCCCCAGAAAGGTCTCTCAGCTGTAGTGTGCGCGGTAATGGGACTAAGTTGCAGCTGATTGCTGTAAAATTACTGTAGGCTATGTATCATAATTGGGAATGTTTTCAAATGCGAGGAGGTGCGTTTATGTGGAGGACAGGGAGTGGCATATTCATAAATAAATCTTTCAAATCTATTAAATAAGAGTGTCAATGAATAAACAAGTCTATGTCAATACATACATCGAGAAAAGCCAAATCAAAAAATCAATAAAAAGTTTAATTTATGTATTTATTTATTGACACATTTCATAAATAAAGAATTATATAACTATCATTTGAATCTTTTAAATAAATAAGGTCAATAAATAAATAATTAAAAATAAAATTTGGATTACATAAATAAATCCTTTGGACTTCTTTTTGTATTCATTGACATACACACATCTCATTATTTATTGACATTTTTGCTAAAGATTTATTTATTATATCTCACTCATAGTCCTCCATACATTTGGGTTTTGTACTCTATAATCGAAATGAAAGTAAATCGGAATGCACCCATGATGAATGTTTTTTTTCCTTTTTGTTTTTTCGTTCGTTGATATTAAGTAGATCATCTTAATTTCAATTTTTTTTTCAGCTGCATATTTGGGTGACTTATTTTGTGGAAGTGCAGCTCAGAAACGCTCTTCACCGATGAACTGAACCGGACACAGTCCTTCTGATATGCAGTTACAGTTGGAAATGATAATGTACTGGAAAAGCCTTGAAGAGATTATATGTACGCTTTGAAATGGCATGTAATTTACAGCAAAAATCTGACGATCTGGCAGGTCCATATCCCATTTAGAGTGCACTGAAACATATTGCTAGCAAGGTATTTTTGATAGAAGTACAAAATCAGTGTTGTACAGCTTTTCTTTTCTCACTATGGCAGTCTTTTGTTTCTTTTTCGGTCTTACACGAACCGAGGCGTGCAGCTAGACCTGCATCCCGTTTTAACCGCTTTGTACTTTCCGGAATGGCTAAAAGGTGCTACATATTTCTTAGTGGTTTTTTTTTTTTTTTTTTCTAATGTAGCCTCGTATCTACCGAAACTGCCTGACCGTTTAAATGTGCCATGTGATGAAATTGTGTGGTCTCCGAGTTTTGTGCCAAAGATGCAAACAGTATTAACTTCTTTGTCAGTGAGAGTAGTTAGGAAAGCTTACCTGAAGTTAGCGTGACCGCTAGTGCTCAACAATGTGCTTCTTAAACCGTGTGCAGAGGCGTAGATCAAGACTGCATGGGGCATGAGCAGTACAAAGCAATATAACCTTGTAGTTTGCAAAGAGTGATAGAAACAAACACTTTTCCCAACAGCCAGATCCTAAATCAAGTTTGGTCGCCGCAGTCACTTCCGAACAATATTGGCTGGATCAAATCTGTGTTTCTTTCTCCTTTAAATGTTAAATCCGAACAGAACTTTTCACATAGAGGTCAGAAATTCAATTTGGACTCTTATTTGGACTTTAGGTCATAGATGATAAACACAACGTTAGGAAATGCTGTCTGGAATTGATTTTCTTTTAAATTGGTTTTTCTTTTATATTGGTTTTTTTTTTTAAAGTGTCATTTTTTGCACCATATTTTCATTGAAAGTTTCTTTAAATCATTAATTTTATGTGTCATTTCGGTAACACTTTACTTGAAGGGGTGTTCATAAGACTAACATGATACCTTCATAACCATGACATGACATGTCTTGAATATGAAGTAGGGTTTATGCATGTTTATGACAACTGTCGTTAAGTGACTTTCACTTAGCATATAGCAAATATGACATTGTCATGTCTTTATGACATCTTGATATAAACTATAACATCATAACCTGTCAGTGTCTTTGTCATGACAACTTGACATAAAATTAAGACAACTTTGACATTGGCTGTAATGAGGTCATTATAACTGTCATGAATATTTTTTGTGACCTCAACTACAGCGGTACTGATTGAATTTGTCATTAAAAAGTTATAATGGCTTCATGACAGCGAATGTCAAAACCAATCGCATGACAGTTTAATGTAAAGTTAACCAATAAAGCTAGGTGGTTTCTTAAGTTTGATAATTAATCTGCTTGTCATGTTTATGACAGGTTGTGTTGTCTTAGTAATGTCAAGTTGTCATGTCAAAGACACTGACAGGTTATGATGTATTGGTTTATGTCAAGGTGTCATAAGACATCTCAAATGTCATATTTGCATTAAAAATGTCATAACTGAGCAGATGACACTTTGACACAAACATACATAAAACTTCCTTCATATTCATAACATATGTCATGATTATGAAGGTGTCATGTTAGTCTTATGCACACCCCTTCAAGTGAAGTGTTACCGTAATTTCTAACTTGGAAAATTAACTTCAAACATCAAAACATTCATCTTGCTAACAAAGCCAGCAAATGTTTAATGAAACGGCTGATTTTTAGACATTTAAGAAGTTGCATTTCAAAAGAAAAGAGAAACGTTGCCACATTTTGATGTCAAATTGATAGTAACAAACAGCTTTTTCACTGCCAGCTTGAAAGCCCACAATTCCTTTAATAAGTAATTGATAATTTGATGTATTTAGTTGTTGAAATACAACTTCAAAAACATGCGGGAATCACGCGGACAATCGAAATGGTCTACATTTTATACAGCAAAAATGTCCCCTGTTATTTTATTGCATTTTTGTAGATACATACAAAGTACAAAGTGCTGTATTTTTTGGCAACCTGAAACATTTGAAGCACGAATAATCAAACTAAAGTTGGAACAGTGATATGATTCTTACAGATGGGCACCGATTCGCTTGTTCCCTATTTTATTAACGGCTTTGCAGCAAATGTTCTCATATTCCCATGTTTTACAAGAGTTGCTCATTTCAGGCAATCATGTTTTGTAATTTCGATGGATTGCCAATGGTCAAGTCGTAGGACGCTTGTATTTCTCCTCTCCTCTTCTTTCACTCTCCTTTTTATGGATTATACTCTTTCCGTTCAATTTTTTGAACTTGTAAAGTTGTACTTTATATCATACAATGGGATGAAAGTATTCCATATAGCCTGTGTTACAGATTTTGTACAAAAGGTGTTTATATGAAAATGTAACCAGTTCATAGCTTTGAATGTTGCAACTAAAGTTTTTATTTGTAAATGTTGAATATTAACCATCACACAAATAAAGGTTGATTGATGTAAAGTGTGAGTTTTCATTTATTATTGCTTCTCTTGAGATAGATCCAATATGAAGACCTCAAATGATCATTAACCACGGCTTCACTGTAAAAAAAATAAATAAAAGTTGCTGCCTTTATAAGTAGCCTACAATACAATTCAAGTCATTTCTTACATTAAACTGACATAAATGAGTTGAATCTTGTACAACTTAAAACAAGCTGAAAATGGCTTAATGCAGTGTAAATACAGGTTGTCATAGTTTGATGGAGTTCGAATAATTGGTCAATTTGGTGGTAAGTTTTAAATAACCAACATTTACGTCTGCCACATACTTTAAAAACAGGATTGTCTTTTGTTTCATTTATTTTTATATTACCACAGTACAATGTTTTGTGCATGTGTAGCCTACCATGTACATGTTCTGATACAATGGCCAATCATTTGGCGCCATAATAAAGTAGACGCCGTTCTTTTACTCGTATCCTTGTTTTCTTATGCTAAAATTGAATATGAACTTAATAATGTATGGTAGTTTTTGTGAGTTTTTTTTCCTCACATATTTGTAATCTTCCTGTCAGGAATATGAATGAGACTTGGAGGGCTTTAGGACCCGGGAAGCAGCGAGCGTGGTGTCCCACTGACGGAGCGACGCACAGCACATACATAAAGACATTAGGTGAGTGTGTTGACACGTCTGAAACCATTGATACTCAGCATTCAGACCTTACCAGTGCGGAAGGGTTTATGCTTCACTTTTGTTTTTGTGTGTTAATTGCATCCATCCATGATAAAGTTCATCACACATCCATAGTTTGCTCTTTTTATAGTAGTAGCGGCAATATCCTGTGACCCTGTCAATCCAGCGTGGTCGCCATTCACGCTAAACTATAGTAGATTTACTCGTGTAGTGTGAGCTAGTGTTGCAGTTTTAGCTTAGTACACAACAAAGTGAAACAATTGTAAGATAAGAAGACGACATTTGCTAATGTTGTAGCCAAGTAGTGTTGAATGAGCTGGTCTGTCAGAGCTCACGTGCTGTGTCTCATAACCTGTAATTATTTTGTAATACAAATGTAGAGTATCATAACCAGAAACAGTAGTAATCATTACTACACTATGTCCCACAATGCAGTGCACTTGAATCGACTTCAAAAATCACAAAATAACCTTGTATCACACATAAATTTAAACATTTAATTTAAAGAGATACTGTAGCTGTTAAGAATTTGTTATGCAAAATAATAGTTTTTTATATCCGGAATGATAACTGGAAGCCACTCTCTAAATATACACACATGCTTTGTTAAAAATTCATGTTACGGTGAGATAGTTCAATAATAGTTTGTTCTTGAATATTACTCTTTCGTGTTATTTTTTTAGTAGACAGATCCAGTTTACTGTGCAGTAAACAGTATTAGTAATCCATTCCTAACTGAGTTAAATGCACCTCATTGAGTCTTCCCTGTTTGGTTTTAATGTATATCCATGTTTGCTTTCTCAAACAAGAAAAGATGTAGGGCGGGACTTCCGAGTGGTGTAGTTGTGACGTCAAAATCCAGAAGACTAATTCGCTGATTCCTTCGAGATCTTTCTATGGGGTTAAAAAACAGGCCTATGATTCCCAAATGTTAATTGCCCTAATAATGTTTATTTTTTCTATAGGTAGGCAGTTTATGATGTCTTAGTTCGAGAGTAAAGATCAGTATCTTTTCATTTTTATGCGATATGTAGGCCTATATATTGCCATATATAGTGAACATACTGATATAAAAAGATTCTCCCATAGGAATGCTGGATTTAGATTATAGGCTAATTAATTAATGCTGCCCTGTGTATCTGCCCTAATGGATAAGATTATTTTGATTTTTTTTTAATCAGTAACTTCATATTGAGAACTTCATATTGGCTTTGCAGTTTAAAAATGGTTTTAGGCTATATATTATTAAATATATAATAATATTCGTTTATAAATGTATATAATACATATTATATACATATAAACTACATACACAGCTGCAGTCCGTATCTTTTGGCGCTCTAGCGGTTAATAAACCGAACTGCATCCCAGACAGCAACATAGTGTCGGCCCAGATCCGGCCCACATCTGGTACACGTACTGGATTTAACGCATTTCAGATGTGGGCTAAATCTGTGCCGACACTCTGTTGCTGTCTGGGATGCGTCCTACGGAAGAATATTGTATCTGCAGCTATTTCTCTCTGTTTATATATATGACGAGTCACGCAGGTACTGGGCAATGGAACGACCCGAACCAGTCTAAAATAGTCTGAATATAAACACTTATTATAGGTGTACCGTAGTGATTCAGGATATAACAAAAACATGGGTTGGTAAATGGATTTATAATGTACTTGCTTATGGTATTTTGTAAATTTTTAAAACGAAAAAGTTACGGACTGCATCTTTAAATATAAAACTTTTTAAAGGTAAAGTTTACCCAAAAATGAAAATTTTGTCGTCATTTACTCACCCTCAAGTTGTTCCAAACCTGTGCTGAACACAAAAATGTCAGTAACCGTTAATGGGCCCCAAGTATATATAACTAAATGTTATTTATATATATATATATATATTATTTATATGTTATTTATATATGTATATTAGGGCTGTCAAAAGATTAATCGCATCCAAAATAAAAGTTTGTGTTTACATAATATATGTGGGTGCACTATGTATAATTATTTTATATATATATATATATATATATATATATACACACACTGTATATATTTAAGAAATATTTTCATGCACATACTGTATATAGATTTATATATCATTTATATTATATATAAATATAAATATTTTATATATAAATAATATTTTTTTCTTAAATATATATGCATGTGTGTGTATTTATTTATATATATATATATATATACACACAAAATAATTATACACAGTGCACCCACATATATTATGTAAACAAAAACTTTTATATATATATATATATATATATATTAAATAATATTATAAAAAAGAAAGGCTTTTAAGATGCATGTGAACCTTAAAATTAGTCAACATTTCACTTAGTGCATTTTATTAACTGTTTTCAAAAGTTTTACCATAGGATACCGTGAGTCAGTGTCATTCTGTCTGTCTGCTTGTCTGCAGAACATCATTAATCTCACCGCTGCTATGATGCAGACTAATGGTCAAGCATTCCAGCTGAAATCATACAGGTGCAGACATTGAGATAATTTAATCCGATTCCGCCTGTCAGCATCGTGTTGTGAAATGCACTGTTAAAATATGCCCATGCATCAAGGAAACCGAAAATTGCCTTGTCAAGAGTGGAAATCTGTCATAGCAGTTTCAAATTACCCTAAAGCAGCGAGTTCACGAAGCATTTTTCGACATATTTGATGACTAGTGCAATTAAAATGGTTACGCTCATGTATGCATAAACAAAGGTACCAGGCTACCGTTTTACTTCATGCAGGTGGCATATTTGACAGTATTACTTGCAGGATAAATGGCTTAGGAGTTATAAACGGGAAGCCTATGATAAATTGATTCTGCTGGAGACCACCATGTACCGCTTCGCAGCTGCGTGGAACGGTCACCTAATATTACAGAGGCATTTGCTTTCAACTCTAGAAACATATTTTTAATTGGGTTCGGCTACAAAAAAAAATCCATTTATTTTGCACACCTGCTGTGCCAACCTTGGTTTTTTTTATTGCTCACCGTTTTATTTCTGTCCGTAGCACATGGAAAATGGTGGAAAATGTTCTCAACTCTGACTCTGAAAGGGGCCTTTGATGAAAAATGAACTCGACGCTTTCTTTTGATCACCGCGCACCAGTCCTAGATTCTCCCATCTGCCCGTTTTTTAGAATAAACTATTAGATGCTCCACTTTACGCACCTTTGAGATCCATGTGCCAACCATCCACCGTACTGTGTATAGAGCCTCGGGCTGGGCATTGCACCATCACTTCACTCTCTGTTTGTAGCCTGAAGGAAAAATATAGGATTGTGGCTCGGGACAAGCAAAAATAGACTTGTTTTTCTTTCTTTTTTTGTAGCCTGTCATGTGTTGAGTGGCTCCGTGGTGATTGGCAATCTTTCACTGTATGTGCTGGTGAGGGATTATTGTTAGAGCAACCTGACAGCTGGCACTTGGCAGGTCTACCCAGAACACCATGGATAATTTAGCCGCTCGTCGTCATAATAGTTCATTAGTCGCACTCTTGTGCTAGATGCGTCTCTTCACGAACTAAGCGAATGAATACTTAACGCTACAAGAAGTGCCAGTGCAGGGTAAGACACATCAGAGAATCTGGTAGATGTGTAGAATTCATTTCTCACAGTTGAGACGTTATTTCTCATAATTGCGAAGTTTAGACGTTACAGAAGTCTATGGATGTTTTTATCCAAATCAACATTGCATTCAAGGTGCGCATTTACATTTGGGATCGAACCCATGACCTTGGTGTGGCTAGCACCACGATCCCCTGTTCGAGCTAAAGGATAGCCTATAATGGTTTGCGAATGCCATTTAATGCAAATATTAATTAGTCAGTGTTTGTATTACTTTAGAGTTGCTACCTCGACTAGGAACGTGTCTTTTTTTCCACCACAAAAGTTTTTTTTTTTGTAATTTTCTCCATTCGAGCAATGCGTTGTGATTCGCTCAGCTTTTTTGTTTTTCACCCTCACATCTAAGTTGTAGTCTCTGATTTTTGAGCCCTCCTGCAAGCAAATGGCTTCAAGACTTTCTTCAAGTGCTTACCAGTAAGCCTGCGAAGTTGCTACGGGAGACCTTGAGGGCTTTTTTGGGAAAACGGTACAAGCCGCTCTTCGTCTTTTTGTTTCTATGGTGAACTCTATAATGAACGAGAGGCATAATTGCATGCCTTGTACCTCCAAATCAAGCATCACACATTATCATTTAAGGGTATTAGAGCAAGCGTGCTCTTGTCAGATTCAATTTCAATGCCTCAGTGGGTTTTCTGCCCTAATGCGTTGGGTCTACAGAGTTTTGTCATTGTGAATACGGTATACAGACTTATAGCAATTACTAAATTCATTATTTAAATGGTTGCTTTATGAGTGTTTTCTTCTTTTTGACCTCTCTAGTCCCTTGCAGTTTGATTCAAAACAAGATGGTTCTTAAGCGTGGTTATCTGGTCTGCTTTTGGTACTTTTGTTCTCTTTGTGAGGCTAGTCATCCAAACATATCATTGAAACATGCCTGAAAGACTTCAACAAAAACATTTTTGTTGTTACCCAAGACTCTTTAAACCATTCATGGTCATTTTCTCTTTTCATTCTCTCTCTCTCTCTTCAGGCAATGGCGCAGACGGGCTTTGGGCGAAGATACTTCAGAGCGTTTGTTAGTGGCTTTTTTGTAGCCGTTCCAGTGACAGTGACGGTTTTAGATCGTCTTGCCTATGTGGCACGCGTAGAAGGTGCCTCCATGCAGGTGAGTTATCCTTTAAACATTTCATCAAACTATTCTTGGTAACATCGTTGTTTTGATGAATCTGGATGAGTCGGGATTTTTATCACTTTACAGTATTTGTCACCATTGTAATTTTCTTTCCCCATCTTCATAATTTTTATGTAATAATTTATATAATATAAAAAATTAAAATGGTCATAGAACTTAATATATTTTCGACATTTTGGAAATTGATAAATGTTGGTATGTTGGTTGCATGTCATTTTTTTTCAATTTACTATAAAATACCGTAATATAACAGAATTATATTGAATAATTTCCCTTTAAAATGCAGCAGTGTAACAAAATTAGTATTTAAAAACATTTTTGAGTGATGATGCAAATTTTGAGTCGCTCGAATAAAATCTTAAAAGACAAACAGCTTAAACTAAATCATAGAAATGCATCAAACTTACCAAGTTTAAATCAAAGGCGATATTAAAACATCTCTGCTTGCTTACGGGAAAGTTTTGAGAAAGTTTAGGAAACTTAATACCCAATAAAAAGAACATTCAAATCATGACCACATTCACAGTTGCTTATATAATACCATCAAAATAATTACAAATATACTATGACTATTCAATATATTCCAGAGCCCTAAGCGAACTTTACTTTAACAAGCATCTCTATTCAAACATTAATAACCCTTTTTTTAATATTAGGACTTTGCATCAAGGCTCAATCAAACCAAATGTCCTTAACATTGCACTAATAGCACAATGAAAGAAACCTCTAATAATGAGAGAAACCCTTCTGAATACACCATGCTCATTTCCTCGGCAAACAGAAGTAATGGTTCATTATGTACCTAATGAACACTATCTAACCAAAACACTGGTGTTTTGTTGTTTTCCTTTTGGAGTTTGGTTTTCTATCTCGGTTCATAGTGTTATAAATTAGCTAATGGCTTCACCCGGTCCATCCACGGCCTTCGAATCCAAATAAGTGACTCCGCGGACAATGCTGAAAGCTGACACCAATACAGAATGAGAAAATGTGTCTGAATAAAAAAGATAGAGCGCCCAGCTGTGACAGATAAATTCTCTAGGCGGGAAGGCTCGTCGGGATATTTATTTTAGAAGGACAGATAAGAGATATTTCTGTCAATTATCCCAGCAAGCGTGAAATGGCTCATCGAGATCTCCCTTAATGATTCATTGGAGGCCCGTGTATCAAGTCAGTCGCTGACTTGCATGTTTGAGAAGGTTCGTCACACACAAGTTGTTTGATATACCACCACAAAAAGAGTTAAGAGAAAAACAAATTCCGTTTTTGAAGTTAACTTGCCGACGATATTTTTATCCTTCAGTCGAAAGGCTGAATGAAGAACAGAGCGATTCTTTTCCAGAACAAAATTAAAGCAAAGTTGCTGCCACTGAGCTTATTCTTAGAGTTACAGTAGTTTTGGAAGTTTTGTGGAGCGGAGGATTAAAGCAATAAATCATAGACCAAAAAGAACAAATGATGAAACTTAAAAGTTTCTAATCTGTCGCAACTCTTCTAGAGACTCTTGTAGACTCTAAAATATCCTGGTTTGAATCTTTCCCAGCCGTCCTTGAACCCAGACGGAGGGTCGTCACCTGATGTTGTGCTGCTGAACCGCTGGACTGTGAGGAACTACCAAGTGCAGCGAGGGGACGTTGTGTCAGTTCTGTGAGTAGCCGTGTTTTGTCCTTATTATGTGACATTTCACCGTGGGCGGAGCAACCGAGCGTGACCCTGCCGAAACCCGACAAAGTGACTGAAATAATGTTCTGTTGTTTATCATGGCTGGCTAATGTGATGCTCGACACTTTTTTTGCATTTAAATGTATTGTGCGTTGATGTAGTACGGTAGGGATGTAGGGATGGTATTTAACGGTACATTTAAAGGAGAACTCTGCCGCAAAATGAACCTTTGGTCTAATAAAATATCGGTACCTACTTAGTCAATCGTTCTCTGAGATTTGTTTTCATGATAATCGAATGTAAAGAGTTTTATCTCTAAAAACTGTTTAGCGTATAATGCTAGTACTGGGGGTATAGAATAAGTAAAAAACAGGAGCCATCTTGGAAAATAGTCTCGATAAGTCGACCCCCGAACGCCGTTCATACAGTTCAGCTCACTCAGCACGACTTTCGTGGTTTGACTTATCATGACTGTTTTCCAAAGATGGCTCCTGTCTGTATATACGAAGTGGACTGTCTTTATAGACCATTTCACAAGATGTAAACAACACTGGTCCAGAAGCACTTCCTGTTTCAGTTTTTTAACACTACATAAAAGCTGGGATAAAATACAACCAACAGAACATTTAAAACTGAATCAAAAAGTTAAACAAACATCTTTAAGATGTTTTCTTTACATGTGTAATAAAGAAAACAGTTACAAACTGAAACAGGAAGTGCTTCTGGACCAGTGTTGTTTACATCTTGTGAAATGGTCTATAAAGTATCTTCTTATTAAACGGTCTGTAAACTTACAAAGTTCTCAATGCTTCGTTTTGCATGTATGGACCCTCATTATGTTACTGTGTTAGGTTGGGGCTATTTTTTATAAACTAGCGATTGATTTTTACTTAATAAATGCCCCCAGTACTAGCATTATACGCTAAACGTTTTTTAGGTTCTTTGCGTGCGAACTCGACAACCAACTACTGTGGACTTCGACCGAAAACAGGAAGTAAATACAGGTATATGAGCTGGCTGAATTAACGTCATTTTTATTAATATCTTTCACATCTACTGCAGTCAGATTGACCGTCCTCACTCACTTAAAGTTATCTTAAGAAACACTAATAATTTGATAACACTGTTAAATGTATAACAAATCTCGAAATAAAAATTTTGAATGAAAACTCTGGTCAAATCCATGAAAATGGCCTTGATTGAGAAGTCCATTTATTAGGTGAATTTTGTCAGATGTGATGTTTTTGTGACAGAACATCATGTTGATGTCAATTGGTTGTGCCTGTAGACCTCTTTTGTGAGTCCTCGCATCCAAATCTTTGACGAAATAGAAAATTGAGGTGTTCTCCATCCAGACATCTGTAGCGCTCAAAATTGCTAATTGGATCATTTTGGTCCCTCTTTAATCCGCCACAGATCTCCTTGACCTTAAACCCAGCTGCTCTGAGTACACTAACTCAAGGGGAATCCTCCTGTGGATAATGAGCCCACTCTGTCAGGAGGCCTTTTAAGGGTTACTGTCATCGCAAGTAATTGGCATAGACGCACTCTTCTGATATGCTTTAATGCGGTGCTCAACACCAAGAGCCTTTTGACACGGACCCTGCGGAGCCTATCATCTAGACTCTAGTTAGGTAACTCCTCTTCACTTTTATGTATGGTCTGTTTTTTGAAGCGCCAGAGGGGGAAAGATAGTATTTATTTCATCCAACTTCTCGATCAAACACTCACCCTGCGGTGTTCTTTGGCTTTTATACGTTTGATAGGCCAGTAGATGGCTGAGCGCCTTTGGCTGTTAAAATTAGGTTTTGATGCTGTGAAACTTGTGTATGATTATTATGCCACCACAGGATGTTTTTTCACAATTAAAGCATTACTCAGTTGGGCGGAATTCTGAACAGAGAGTTATTTAATTAATGAAGCAGAAACGTTTTTAAAAAGTGATTCTTTTTTATTTTTTTTATAAAAATATTTTTGGTGTCCCTCTAGCAGTACCAAATGAAGCAAAAATGTTGACTGTTTTCAAAAGGTTTTTAGAACACTCCCTCCTTTTGTCATTGGTCAAACAAGCAAATAGCTCCGCCACCAAACTCACATCATGGCTTGAGCCACTGTTGCTATGTCAGGCTGGTCGGAATTTTCAAATAAACGTTGTTTTCTAACCGCCATAGAGTTTTTCAGGGAAATCTACCTTTTAATATCTTATTTATAGTTGTCTCTGCATTAAGCTGGAACAGGATAAATGTTTTATGTTTTTATATATATATATATATATATATATATATAAAGTACGCATTTCTATGGAAGCTTGTTTCCACCACGGAAAAAAAAAATATTTCAAATTTAATTGCGGCTTTTTCTCTCACGATTGCGACTATATAAACTTGCAATTGTGAGTTATAAAGTCAGAATTGCAAGTTTATATCTATTTTGACTTTAAAAACTCGCAGTTCCGGGTTTACTGTATATCATGCGATTCTGACGTAAACTCTCAATTGACTGAAAAAAGCCAAAATTGTGAGAGAAAAAGTCACAATTACCTTTTTTATTTTTTATTCTGTGGCAGAAACAAGCTTCCATACGTTTCAGCTTTAACTCGACAAACTGTACTGTTTTAGTTTTTTTGTAAATCCCTGTATTAGGAACAATGTTGAGAGTATGGGAAGGCAGATTCATTCTGTCATTACCCAAAGATGGCACTCTTCCCCTGCTGGGAATTCACTGCGATGTTGGGAACATGATGTTCATCCTTTACTAAGCTATTCTGTGGGAAGAAACTAGCATTGCATATTAATACTGCTGACTTTGATTGCTTTAGTATTCAATGTATGTATAATATCTTGTTTTTAAATCAGATTCTTTCCTTTTATATCAATATATTCAATATTTCTTGGGTTTTTTTAAACCAAAAATGTCATTATTTACTCAGCCCCATAATATATCATTTTTTATGTGATCTCTTGTATTCAAAAAACACCATAAAATAACCATAAAATTAGTTTAGACTCTGTGTGCTATATTTGATGTAGAAATTTAGATCATTATTCAGTGTACATGTTGGCTTTTGTTACAACAAATTTGATTTCAGCCTTTTAAAATTCATATGGACTACTTTTATGATACTTCTATCTTTATTTCTTAACCATATTTATCATATTTGAACATATTTAGATCACATGACCATCTAAATTGGGACAAATCAGTCAAAATTTTGGAGCAAGTCTCCAGGTTTCAAATCTGACATGTCTGAGTGGGGTTGAATCTGAATGTGTTTATGCAGTTGCAAGAGTTTTGTTTTCCTCTGCGTGTTTGGATCAAATGCAGATGTAATTGGGACTCATTTCAAGCGTTGTCTGAGGAGATTTCTCAGCCCACAGAGTAATATCTTATTTAGAGAACATTCCTCATCTTCAGACAGCAGTCGATGGGGAAATGGTTCTGTCAGGGTGTTTTATGCACACAGAAAACATTTTGTCATGCTTTAAACAGAGTAAACAGGGACAAACTTGATGATTTTATGAATTGCCATTTGTACACATTACCACTTCCTAAAGAGTTCTTCCACAGCATTTGGTCAAAAGTGAGGGTTATGAATCTGTTACTAAGGGGAGACAGTCGCACAAAATTTAGACTAAAACATTTAGTCCTTTTTAACAAATAACCATTTTTGCAAAGGCAGCTAGGAGCATTGAAAGTGGACAAAAAGAACAGATACTGTAAATATCTATTGATTCACAACACGCAATATCAATTTTCCCTGTCTTTTCCGAGTCACTTTGAGGTGTGCTGGGCAGAAAATAGGATCTCGCTGGATTGGGTTGTGTAATTAGCCTTCTACATGGAAACCAGTTTAATTCATGCATCCTCTGAGAGGTTTCATAGGGTCGAATTTGTTTTCAGAGAATGTTGCATTCAGCTCAGAGTATGAGGTGAACTCAGGTGTTTTTCAGACCAGCGTGCTTCTGTTTTGGTTGTTAATGTGGTGGCAGGAAGCCTCATTGTTACATAAGAGTGCTGAAGGCAGGTCAGGTTTGGGGAGTGAGGAACCTTGGGCCTTATTTATAACCGTTGCGTATGCACACAACAGGCCCTGAAAGAGGTGTATAGAGGTGTATTATTATTAATTTGAAACATATTGAATATATACACTCACCTAAAGGATTATTAGGAACTCTTGTTCAATTTCTCATGAATGCAATTTTCTAATCAACCAATCATATGGCAGTTGCTTCATTTAGTGGTGTGGTCCTGGTCAAGACAATCTCCTGAACTCCAAACTGAATGTCAGAATGGGAAAGAAAGGTGATTTTAGCAATTTTGAGAGTGGCATGGTTGTTGGTGCCAGACGAGCCGGTCTGAGTATTTCACAATCTGCTCAATTACTGGGATTTTCACGCACAACCATTTCTAAGGTTTACAAAAAATGGTGTGAAAAGGGAAAAACATCCAGTATGCGGCAGTCCTGTGGGTGAAGATGGCTTGTTGATGCTAGAGGTCAGAGGAGAATGGGCCGACTGATTCAAGCTGATAGAAGACAACTCTGACTGAAATAACCACTCGTTACAACCGAGGTATGCAGCAAAACATTTGTGAAGCCACAACACGCACAACCTTGAGGCGGATGGGCTACAACAGCAGAAGACCTCATCTCCACTACAAAAGAGGCTATAATTAGCAAGAGCTCACCAAAATTGGACCGTTGAAGACTGGAAAAATGTTGCCTGGTCTGATGAGTCTCGATTTCTGTTGAGACATTCAGATGGTAGAGTCAGAATAAAACAGAATGAGAACATGGATCCATCATGCCTTGTTACCACTGTGCAGGCTGGTGGTGGTGGTGTAATGGTGTGGGGGATGTTTTCTTGGCATAATTTAGACCCATTAGTGCCAATTGGGCATCGTTTAAACACCACAGCCTACCTGAGCATTGTTTCTGACCATGTCCATCCCTTAATGGCCACCATGTACCCATCCTCTGATGGCTA